GGGGGGGGGGGGGGGGGGGGGGGGGGGGTGGATCATCCGATTGCCTGAAGAATAACAAAATTTGGAGATAAAGATTATGAAAGCGAGTAAAATGGGGAAAAGGGCAGGGATTTTGTGGCCTGTAGATGCAAAATCATCATAATTTATTAGCAAGTACTAGAGATTTCTATGTTGTTGAAGAGCGGATGCTCTTCCATTTCAAGTTTCAGAAAACAAACCGTGTATACAATCACAACGAAGAAGAGAAAAGTTTGAACAAATAAACCAATTACCAACGAATCCCTTCTGCTTGGCTAAGATTGATGATATGAGAATGGAGGAAAATGAATATCAATATGATTAGAGGAGAGGCTAATAAGCCATTGCAACAGGAGGCGCCGCAAAGCTGATGGTTTTCTGGTTAGGCATAGCAAGCATAGCAGTGTGATCCAAGAAATCTTTGAGAGCCACAACAGACTCCAAAATGGTTCTCAAATCATCAGCACAAGCAAACCCAAAACACCCTTCTCTTCGAACTGCATAAACATAAAAAGTTATGCACCCTTTTCTGAATTTGAACCGAGCCATCTCACACCCACTTAGCCCTCTAATCATCTTCTTATTCACTTCGCCTAGAGGGATTTCTGCTGCCCAAACACGGTCTATTGCTGCCTTCATGGCCTCATTTTCAAACACAAAGAGAAGAACTTTGGACTTCTTTGTGCCGAGGCCTAGAGTGAGTGTGTGCCACGCATGGTGAGCGAGGATTGTGAAGTTTGTGGGAATGAAAGCTGTGGCAGATGGGAACGGCGGTTTATGGCCGGAATTTCTGGTGGTGGCCGGAAAAGAGAGGAGCTGGAGAAACTCTAAAGGCCTAGCTCGCCGGATTGTGAAGGATTTAACGATGAATTGGCCACCGAATCTGAGACCCTTTACATGAGAGCTTGGCTTGAAAGAGAAATCAGAGGGTGATTTTGTGGTTTGGTCATTTGGGTGTTGATGTTTTTGCTTCTTGGTGTTCTTCTTGTTGTTCTTCTTTGTCTCTGTTTCCTCCATGTCTTGTTCTTCTTTCTTCTCCCTTGTGGTGATGGGCTCTGTTGTTTCTGCTGCTTCCATAATTAAAAAAACCAATCTTCTGCTGTTCATGTCTCCTTTATTTGGCTTCCTTTATTTCTTAATTGGCCACTTAGCTTAATGATGATGAATTTTCCATTAGATGCTGTATCAATATCACTGTGTTTGGTGGTGATTAGATCCCAACGATTGGTACCAACATCAGATTCCCATTCTCCAAAATTAATTTTAAATGATAATTTTAGTCTTCAGCTTTAAGATTGTCTAATAAATCTTCTTCTTTCCTTTTCAATCTTTTTCTTCTCTCTTTCCCCTTCCTCTCTTTTCTCTTATAAAGAAAATAGGAACCCTACATTGGTCTCTCTCTTCTCCAACAACATCGTTACGTTTCTTTGGGCGATGAAGACTTACAACAGTAGCAACTTGCTTTGACGATCACGAACATTCTAACAGTGATCTACATACAACATTGAGTTAAATCAACTCACAAATAAGCGTCAAATATCAGTGCTACAAACATTATACTAGAGAAGATCTAGATTGCCGTTTGTATTATAGTTTGAGAATTAAATAGGAAGATCTTAGTTAGCTTTAGGTTACCATGAACTTCCAAATATGGTCACAAGGAGCCCAATTACAGAGGAGGAGGACCACACAACTTTGAACCTAAATAGGAAAATTACTTGAATCAAGCGCTTCATTTGTTTCCCAACTTTCATAATTACATCCATTTCTTCGGGAGAGCCCAATTACATAAAATATAGGTTTGTTTGGTTATAAATTATACCTAATCCGTAATTGATCAGTATCTTATCAGGAGCTGTTTGTTTCAAGTGTATGTAACTAAATCAGACAAATATTATATCACATTATATACTCTACTATAGTGAGTAGCCAAACTAAGATCGTTAAGAAAGTATATAAGATTTTATTTTAAGAAGCTAAGAGAGACAACCTAAAAGTCCTTCCAATAAAGGTAGTTTTTCTTTTAGAAAGACCCCATAGCCTTTAATCATATTCATGCAGACACCCCTCATATAAAAAATAAAAATAATATGACCCTCATATAAAAAATAAAAATAAAAAAAAAAATTGTTTAATCCCACGTTAATAAACCCACATTAAAAAAAAATAAATAAAAAACTCGGAGAATGAAATTGGTGACAAGAATGGGACAGCAAAAGTTTCAGTCTCCGCCCTATAAACATCTCTAAGATGAACAATATCAAATAAAGAAAGTATAAATTTTATAAATACGAAAAAAGTAGGAACCAAAATACCGATAACATTAAGGTAAGGATAAATTATGACCAATAATGCAATGAAAATGGTATTAAGTGAATTAATAAATTAAAATGCATGCATATATTAATTTATTTATTTATTTGTTTGCATATATATATATATATAGATATATATATGTGAGTGTGATAAAAAAAAAAAAAAAAAAGGAAAAATGAAAAATGAAAGGTTCCCAATGCCCACAAAAAACAATAGGCATAGGAAAATACGGCAGAGAAAAATGAAAAATAAAAAATAAAAACAATTATTTCTAATTCTCACTATTGTATAAATATATAAAAATAAATCACCAAAAATAATAAGAACCAAGCAGTGTTTGTAGGTCGTAGGCTGTTGGGCTGTTTGGTTGTTTCTATATTGTATTCCCAATCCTCATCATCAACTTATGCGGCTGCTGCTGCTGCTGCTGCTGCGGCGGCGGCGGCGGCTGCTGGGCTGTGGTGCATCAAAATGGAGCCCTGCAGGCCCCCTTTTATTTCTTCTACAAACTCAACCATCTCACTTTTTATTTCATACTTAAACCATACCCCCAACAACAACCAAAAACAATTCAAAACTCGCGCTACACAATTCCGACTCTCCTCAAAATTTCTCGGTCTGTACACTCTCGTCAAACGGCTCTCAACAACGAGTGTCGTCGCCTCTCCGACTTCATTTTCCTAACGATCATATCGCCCTTCACCGGCCTCACAAACCAATCCGATTCCATCTCTGATTGCAGTACTGACTGAAGTCTCTTCAAGTGTCCAATGCACTGCTCATGGCTCAACATGTCTCTGCTCCCCAACTGCTGCTCTTCTTCTGGATTAACCATTCTCTGGCATGGTGACTGCCATTTCGCTTGCAAGTATGCAAGCGATCTCCATGGAGGAAGCGGCATGGAGTTTAGCTTCAGCGACGACTTCCCAGCTTCAACCATGATTTGAAGGAACTGCTTAAGCCGAGATAAAGATCCAACGTAGATTACCGGAAGCGAATTCAATATCCGATCATATGATTCAACTGCCCTCGCTATCTCAAAGTGGCTTCGAAAGTCAATATCGACAATCAACCTCTCTGAGCTACCAGAGGTGTAGTTAACGACATCGATATACTCATGATCTCCTGTAGATGTACGAGAAAAAGGCGTTACGCCGAATAAAGAAAAGATTCCAGAAGGCAGAGAAGTTCCAGACTCATTTCTCCATCAATTAGAGTATCAAACTACCAGAGATTATGCCCTCAAGCACTATCCAAAAAGCAGAGAATAGAACATCTTATGGAATAAACTACGAAAGAAGAAGCTTATTCGAGTAATTAAGGCATACCCACGAACACCCAAGTTGAGTTCTTATGTCATATCAACAGAAAATTCTCCATCATTGAAAGTAAAATGAGTAAGGTTTTGAGGGGATACCTCCAGGGACCTTGCCGGCACCCTGCCATCGGGTGGTGCATACAGCAGCATCATAGCCATAGAGTCTCAGTAGCTTAACCAAAACAAACCGGATGCAACTAGCATTGCACGAACCGGACTTGTTCATGTTCAAATCCTTCTCATTCATTGACAAGGTAAGCGAATGAACCACTGAAAGCAAATCACTTTCGTATTGGGATACTGGATTTTTATAGAACTGACAAAAACAAACAACAAATTCTGAGAATTCAATTGATTTATGGATCTCATCTATTAGTTTCATCACAAAACAATGTGCAGGACAGTTCTAAATCACAGTAATCTTGTACAGAGACATCGCCAAAAGGGTTTTAATTACAAGTTCATGGTTCAATTGATGAATTCCTACAACTTTGAAGGGTGTTAAATTTGTTTCCTCGTTTACTAATCCAATATAACAAAAACAAAGGCATCATGAACCAATCGAAAGTTCAAACGTTCATAATCAATATTCATATCTCAACCCCGTTTGGTAATCATAAGGATATCAACCAATAAGTCAAAAGAACATATAATTACGTTTCTAAAAAGAGGAATCATAAACATAATTACATTCAGAAACCACCAAAGCAAGCTAAAATTTTAATCAAACGAGAATTAAACAAATTTCAAGAGAGAAAGTTACCAGAATCTTGTCAGCGAGATGAGTAAGATCAGAGACACCAGAATCGCTATCGCTGCTACACCAAGACTCAGCTCCGCCGCTCCCATTTTCCAAGAAATCACTAACCATGAGGGCTAAATCATGCTCACTTTCATGGCTAAAACCTCCCATTTGACCCACACCCTTAATTCCGACTCCACCACGGCCGCCTACTTTGACCCATAAATCCCCACCCGCAACGCATATCCGGCAGTCCATTTCCACGCCCAAAAGAACCCTCTGTTTCGCCTCAATCCGTCTCCACGTCCCACTTCCCCTCCGATTACGACGAACGCCCAACCCCATCTTCTCTATTAGCGAAAATCATCGTCGTCGCTAAATTTAAACACAAAATGAGCGGAAAAAAGAATTTGGGGGTTCTTAATTTCGTAGAATTCAATTATGGGAGCTCAAATAAAAAACAAAAATTAGAACTCAAATGGGCCAGAGAAGAAACAAGGAGGCGAAAAGGAGAGACGAAAAAGAACGAAGCCTTTTGTTTTCGTTTCAGAAAGATGAAGAGAAAGGGAAGAAACGAGGAAATGGAAGAAGTGCTTTATAAAGGCATAGACAAATAGTGAAAAGACGAAAATATCCTCTGATTTTCTTGAAGAACAAGTAAACCTCTACCCGATTACGTGGAAATATTGCAAATAGTGGACAAGGAGAAAGAAAAATTAAAGAAATTAAGCAAATTCATCTCATTAATTTAAGTTTTTTTTTTTTTTTTTCTTACCATCATTTTTTAAATAGACAGATAATTCTATGCTAGGTGACCTCTTAAAAATTTTCTTATAATACATGTAAATTAAGGACAAAATATGTTGGTATGTAGAGATAGTTATCACTTATAAAAGCTGATAGTAAGTAACATGACCATATCATAGATGGTGTCAAAACCATTAAGTGTCTGTCTCATAGATAAAATTTAAATATTAAATTTGTAATTGGATTAATATAATCATCTAAATTTGATTAAAAAAATGAACGTTTTAGAAGGCATAATTATGAAGCAAAATAATACAATATTATTTTAATAATTTATCCATTATTTTATTGACAAATAAAACCAAGCCACCTAAGGTCTACCAAACATTATCGGCCGGAAAGGGTAAAATAGTCATTTAACACGAATCTAGACCAAGCCACAGTCAACCATCAATGAATGGAGGTTTTTACTTTATGCAGTGACGTCATTAATGATGATCTAATCTATTAGATTTGATGTAATATTTATGTATTTAAGTAAACAAACCCAGCAAAATTACACTAATAGGTTTTTTTTTTTTTTTTTTTTTTTTTTTTTTTTTTTTTTTTTTTTTTTTTTTTTTTTTTTT